CTGTGGCTATGCCCATCTGTGTGTGGTCATGCTGATCCATGGCCATGCTGATCCGTGGCCGTGCTAATTGGTGGCCATGCTGAGCCTCACCCCCCAAAATCTCATAACTGATGGAGTCAGAATCCTCAACACTGAACGTACAACCAAGGCATCACAAACCCACCCCAACCACATACAAACAACTCTCCCAAAGTGACGGTCTCCCCCCAAAAGCCTTACCAGTGAGCACCATGCCGAGAGCTGTGTTCAAGAACACGATTAAAATAAAGCAGAGAAGCAATGTGGCAAAACGCGGGAAGAGGACACGCCTGCGTATTCTCCACTCACAGGAAACACAGACCAGAACAGGCCACGGCGCTGGGGCCGTGACCCGGATCCCCGGGACCGCGACTCCAGACACCGGGTCATGGCAGACAGGCCAGACCAAAGGCAGCTCATCAATCTGCCGTCGTAAAACCAACTGCACGTGAGGCCGATCCACTCCAGCCAGTGGTAACCCGGCCTCGGCCTCGGGCAGGGCAGTGCCCACGCGCACGCTCCAGACAGCGCCTCTGCGGGGCTCACGAAGCCCCGCCCCCAGGTCCGCTCCGACAGCGCCAGACGGGTCAGCACATATCACTGATCGCTCCACACATTCCCCAGGGCCTTTGCCAGTGACAAACCCGGGGGGAACCGATCACCTAAGGCTGGTGAGCTCCACGGTGCTGGCCAGCAGGTCCCTGATCAAGTCCACGTTTCACGTGACACTGACGAGGTGTCGTGGGAACTCGTCTCTTCTATTATGGCTGTTGTCTGTTTTTATGTTTGTTTGTTTGTTATGTTGTTGTTGTCAATCCTTACCAGCGGATATTTTTTCCATTGATTATCTTGTGTAGAGGGAGTAGAAGCAGAATGAGAAAGAGAGAGAGAGATGAACTGGTTGCCTCCCACACACGCCCTGACCAGGGCCAGGGATCGAACCTGCAACCCAGGTACATGCTCTTGCCTGGGAACCGAACCCGAGACGCTTTGGTGCGCAGGGCGATGCTCTACCGCTGAGCCAGCCCGGCCAGGGCCTCACCTCCTGCTTACACCAGTCGGCCTCCAGGAAAACTGGCTTTGCTGAGGCCACTTCCGGCCAGGACGGGAAGTGAGGCCCCCTCGCCCCCCGCTTTCTGTTCCCCTTCCTGGCGGTGAGGCCAGCCACAGCATAACCACCCCACACTGCCCCAAACTTCTGAGGACTCCGAGCTGTGAGACGCGCCCAGAGAGCGCCGTGGAGGTGCCCGGTCCACAGGCCCCACCAGCACCTCCCGTTTCTGCCTGGAGTCCCCGGGGTAACAACCCTGCTTCAACTCTCATGCCCCGTCTCTGCCAAGCTCTGAGCTCTGCACCCATCTCCTTTCCACCCCACAGGTGGGGGGGCAGAGAAGAGCAGCGAGCCCTGGCGGGGTGGCTCAGGTGGTTGGAGCGTCATCGTGTGCACCAATAGGTTGTGGGTTCAAGTCCCTGCCGGGGTCTAATAGGAGGTAACTAACAGATGTTCCCCTCTCACATCAATGTTTCGTTCATTCTCTCCCCGCCCCCCAAATCAGTAAAAACATATCCTTGGGGGAGGATAAAAGAAAAAGAGAGCCCTGGCCGGTTGGGCTCAGCAGTTGGAGCGTTGGCCTGCAGTCCAGAGAGACCCGGGTTCGGTTCCTGCTAAAGGCACGTACCTCGGTTGCAGTTTGTCCTGGGCCCCGGTTGGGGTCGTGTGGGTGGCAGCCACTCAATGTGTCTCTCTCACATCAATGTTTCTCTCTCTCTTTTTCCCTCTCCCTCCCGCTCTATCTAAATATACATGAAAAAAAAATGTCCTCAGGTAAGGATAAAAAGGAAAAAAATAATAGAGCAGTGAGACCCTCAAGGGGGTGAGATGAAGTGAAGAAAAAGCAATTCCCAGGAAGGGAAGCCAAACTCTGGAGAGGAAATATTCGGCCAGTTCCCACCAAGCAACTAGGGTAGGATGGGAATAGGGGAAGTGACCCAGGTTGACCACATCTGCCCAGAACAAAGAACAAATGGGAGAAGTGAGTGTGCGCGCGTGTGTGTGCGCGTGCACATGTGTGTGCATGTGTGTGCGTGGGTGTGTGCATGAGTGTGAGTGTGTGCACATGTGTGTGCGTGTGCACATGTGTGTGTGCGTGTGTGTTTGTGTTGAATTCCATTCATAACCTTTCACATTCCTGGAAGGAAAACACTGAGAGAAGCTGTGAGGTTGGAAACAGGACAAGAAAGGGCAGGGGCCCTGGCCGGTGGGCTCAGTGGTTAGAGTGTCAGGCCACGGAGCGAAGGATCGCGAGTTTGATTCCCAGTCAAGGGCATGTACCTGGGTTAGGGGTTCGCTCCCGCCCCTGATCAGGGTGCGTGCAGGGGCCAATCAGTCGATGTGTCTCTCTCACATCGATGTTTCTCTCTCTCTTCCCCCCTCCACCCTCCCTTCAACTCTCTTTAAAAAAGAGGGGGAAAAAAACAATGGAAAAAATATTCTCAGATGAGGATTAACAGAACAAGGAGGAGGAGGAGGAGGAAGAGAAGGAGGGAGAAAGGAGAAGGAGGGAAGGAAGGGAGGGAGGGAGGGTCGGGGAGAAGACACTCTACAGGAACTGAGTAAGTGCCTACTGTGTGCTGAGCCCCAGGGAGAGGCCCCACGGCAATCTCTAACACGAGTTTCCATCATTCCCACCTCACAGAAGGGAGAACAACGCTCAGGGTTGGGCGATGTTCCTGGGGCCGCACAGCGGGGGGGGGGGGGCTGTTGTTCCCCTGTGGCCACAACTCAGATCTCCCGAGAAACCTCCACGATACCAGGACTCCCGTGTCCACATGAACCGAAAGCAAGCCCCTCCCCAGGTCATCCGCAAACATGCCCTGCCCGGCGCGGATAAGTCCACAGGTCCGGGGGTGCAAAGCCCTGTAGTTCCCAGTACACTGCCGGGCAGTCCTACGGAGCTTCCAGCCGTTTCTAAAACAGGGTCACAACTGTGCCCCAGGAACATACACAACCCACCTAAGACCGGCTGCTGCGTGAGTGATACTCGAGTGCTAGCTCACTGCACTAAAACCAACACACACGGTGTCAGACACTTAAGATAAATACGTAATGTCTCTCTGTAATTATTTTGATGGGTTGATTTGAGAGAGAGAGAGATACTGATTCGCTGCTCCACTTATTTCTGCGTCACCGGTCGATTCCTGCATGTGCCCCGACTAGGGCTCGAACCCACAACCTTAGTGCACCCGGACAGCGCTCCAACCAACTGAGCTGCCTGGCCAGGGCTACATAATGCCGTGCTCCTTATTTAGCTTTAAAGACCCTTAGAAATGTTTTTGACAGAGTTCCACAGGGCGGGACTTTTTAAATGCACATAAACTTAAGAGAGGAGGTGCTTGCTTCTGCTCCATCTAAAACACAAACAAAGCCCACCACTGGTTCTTTGGGAGGACGAGTAAGGCCCACGCATGTCCCCCGGGCTGGTGAAGAGGAGAAGACGGGAACCCGCAAGGCCAGGGAGGACAGGAGACATTTCCACAGATGCAGCGGGCTCAGAAAGAGGCTCACACCCTGTGCAGTTTTACGCCGGCACAGTCTAAACGGACACGAAACGGGCAGGTCCTTGTTTCAGTAATAAAGCAGGATGGGTTTAATGGCCCCGTAACAAACCGAATCTGCCTGAACTTGAGAAAAACCAGCCTCCTGCTGATGTCCTCTAACCATCCATGTGACGGTGTTTGGAAACCTTTGCGAAGGCATGTTCCCCTTTCTCTGGCGAGGGTGCCGGCTCTGCAAACCGCCTGCGCGGGGACCGGTTAGTCACCCTCAGCAGCATCTGCGGTCGGCTGGTCTTTCCTGCCGGGTGACTTGCTAAAGGCTCCTCGGGGTGGGGTGGGGTGCGGTGGGGTGGGGTGCGGTGGGGGAATCAGTCAAGTTCAGTCTCCCTGCACCAGACGGAGGCTGAAACCGGCTCCGGCGGTTGTGACAGCCTGAGCCACCCACCCTGTGCTTCCCTGGGACATGTCTGGTTTGGTTTGAAAGTCACTTCATTCTACTTCTGTGTCGGTCACTTCAGGGGAGCTACGAGGGGAACCCAACTACGGAAAACAGTGGCCACCGCGACCTGTCCCCTGACCCCCGAAGTTGACGTGGAAGAAGCCCTGGGAAAGACAGGCTGTTCCTTCTGCTGCTGGGAGAAATGGAAGCAGCTCAGGTGCTCCTGACCACCACCGCCGCCGCCACCACCGCCACCACCACCACCGCCCCCGCGCACACGGCCCTGCACGCGCCTGCTGCTCAGATACGAATAGCTGAGAGCTGACCCCAAGCCTCGCTCGGACCCCATGAGGAGCCAATGTCACCCGTCCTCAGAAACTGCACCTTGGGCCCAGTGTGCCTCGTGCTGGGCACATCGAGCGTCACAGAGATCCCCACCCCAGTGCCACCCACTTCGGGACCTGGGCAGTCCTTCTGGAGACAAACCAGCCACCGTAGAAAGACAACCTTTTCCAAAACATCCCAGGTAAACACCCTGCCAGCCAGCCACCTGCAGGGACCTCACTGATCAGACTGAACCAAGGCGGAGCCGGATCCGTGGCTCCGTGCAGAGCACCCCCCCCCACTGCAGAACATGCCTGGGAAGCCCCCACCCAATCCCAAGCCTTCTATGGGGTCTGTTTCCACAACATGGACCTGTGGGTGCTGAAGAACCGGCAGGACGGCCTCGGACAGGAGGGCAGGTGGCATCTCTGTGGGTAACAGAACCCCACGCGGCACCACCACCCCCCCCCCCGGTGGCCTCCAGTCCTGGTTTCGGAGGGCAGGGGGTGAAGCACTCGCCACCAGAACCTGGTCCCTGGTCCCAGGGCAGCCCGGGCGCACAGGTGCGCACAGGGCTGCCCCCTGGGCTGTCCCCCGCCCCCCAGGTCTAGAGCCACCACCCACCCAACACAGAAACTCGCCAGTGGAACAAACTGAAGCTCACCCTGCCCGGCAGGCACGTGCTGGTCCCCGTCTGTCCTGCCTCACATCCCGAAGCGCCAGTAACACAGCTCACGGCAGCCAGGCAGCAGCTCCCGCCAGCACAGCAGTGTGTGCTGAGACCCAGCTGGCCCTCCGGGAAGTCAGGAGGGAGTGTCGCTCTTCCCCACCCACCTCGCTCCTCCTCCCCGCCTCCCTCCTCTCACTGCCGGCAGGGCTGTCACTGAGTCCCAGCTGCCCGGAGTCCTGGGGAAGAGGGGTTCCTACCAGGTCTCCCCACCCCCCAGAAGAACCTGGTCACCTGCACCCAGCACAGCGTCCTCGGCACGTGTCTGAGCTCAAACCTAAGTCATCGCAAGCCCCCCGCTGCCCGGGCAGGAAACGGGAGTGTTAGCAAGTGGACACCTACGTCCTACACGCTCTTTTAAAAGACTGGAGGGCAGAAGAACAAAAAACAAACTTGCAACTGGCTGGCTCTCCTTTAAAACTTATAAAATATTTCAGATACACAACAGCAGATTCGAAAATAACATCATGAGCCCCGTGCAGCATAACAAATGAATTCACCAGCCGGCGGAAGCCGTCTGCGGTCCTGCCTGGACACTCCCCTCCTCCTAACGCGGCAGCACCTGCCGTCCGCGCAGTTCCCACGGGAGACGTTCATCTCCCACTTGCTCACCATCCCACAGGACACGCGCTCGCTCAGCGACCCAAGGGGCACCCTTCTGCTGGGCTGGAAAGGACGGCACCCTAAATGCAGCCTTGGTGGGTGTTGCAAGAAAACGGAAGGAATCGCAGTGTGGTTAACGGAGCTCCGGAGCTGGGACAGGTGAAGCATTCATGGGTGAAATTGATGGATTAATACAGCGTTATCCTTTCCAAGGTCAGCAGCTGTGTCCACAGCCGAGGACACTGACCCGCACGCCAGGGGCTGTCCTCAAAGACACACTGCAGAAACAGAAGCGCGACGTTCCTTTAAGAAGTCCTGTGGGAGGGACCGGAGGGAGCAATACTCAGAAAAGGCAGCTTTCGAGACAGTAATGACAAACGTTGCAAAGGTGGGAATTGTGATACATTCGAATCGAACTCAAAGAGACTCATTCATACAGAGGTACCTGACACATGTATCAGATACATGACACCTGAAACGCTGGGTCCTAGCGCCTTCAAAGTAGAAACATAGTAACTCTTTGGTGAATGAATGAAACAAATGAACCAAAGGATGCCCTCCAAGACCTCGGAAGGCGTGTTCAGGTGGAGCAGGGCTCCTTCACGGGAGGTGACCTGGTCCTCTGGGAACACTTGGCGATCGGCGGGGACATTTCTGGATGTCAGGACCTGGGGTGCTACTGGCATCTAGTAGGCAGAAGTCAAGGACACCACGAAACATCTCAAAGTGTTCAGGAAAGCCCCGCCTGCAACAGAGAACCGTATGGCCCAGAGAATCACCTGAACCCTGGGCAGAGGCGTCGCCACTGACTATCACTTGGTGGACGTGCTCTGCTTAGGATCGCAGCACTGTGAAGAGGCTGCAGGGACCAGGGAGCATGTCTCCGCCCTTCGCACAGGACTGGCAGCTGGGGCCCAGGGCACACACGCTCAGGGCTTGTGCTGGCCAGGGAAGAGAAGCAGCCAGGCCGGGGCTGGGAGGAGGATGTGAGCCAGAGTATCAGCTGCAGAATCAGAGCACAGCTGTCACGAGAGACACGCACGCGAGGAGGCTTATCAGCCCATCAGTCAGCCCATCAGTCAGCCCTCGCTGCCATCACTGGCTGGAGGCACTCGGAAGACAAGAGGACGGTTAATCTCCTTGCAGCTTATCGGGTTCAGATCACTTACAGGAAAAAGGTGAAGCTCTAGAGTCGGCCACTTAGGGTGAAGGACTTTCAAGTGAGGACACCTCTTCTCCGGGCTTTCTGATCTGGTCCTCACAGGAGACGTCCTTCTTCGAACCCGAGCATCACGTAGGTTTTGTCCATTCTGATATTATTTCTTTTCTGCTGGGGAGGGCTGCAACCAAGGTATGTGCCCTCAGTGTTTCCCAAGGGGGGACGGGGGCAGTGGGTGTGCTCACCAGGGACCCCCTGAAGCTTAGCAGTGGCAGGTACTTGATCGATCCGTGCTGGGCTGAGCTGCATGAGCCTCCCTGTCCAGCTCTCAGGCCTGGACATAGAAAGTCCCTGCTGCTGCTGCTGCTGGAGGAACCCTCAGGGCCCATGAAGAGTCTGAATGATAGGCCCTGGCTGGTGTTGCTCAGTGGTTAGAGCATCGGCCCATGGACCAAAGAGTCGCAGGTTCGATTCCGGTCAAGGGTATGTACCTCAATTGCATTTCGCCCCCGGCTCTGGTCTCGGTCGTGCGGGTGGCAACAGGTTGATGTGTCCCTCGCACATCAATGTCTCCCCACCCCCCATCTATCTGACAATAAATGAGAAAATATCCTCGGGTAAAGACATTTTTTTTTTAAAAAGGTGTCCGAGCCCTGGCTGGTTTGGCTCAGGGATTAGAGTGTCGGCCCACGGGACTGGAGAGTCCTGGGTTCGGTTCCCACTAAGGGCACATACCTTGGTTGCAGTTTGTGCCCGGTCCTGCTTAGGGTCATGTGGGTGGCAGCCACTCGATGTGTCTCTCTCACATCAATGTTTCTCTCTCTACCTCCCTCTCTCCCTGCTGCTCTATCTGAAGATAAATGCAAAAATGTCCTCAGGGGAGGATTTTTAAAAAGGCATCTGAAGCCCTGGCCGGTTTGGCTCAGCGGTTAGAGCGTCGACCTGCGGTCCTGAGAGACCCGGGTTCGGTTCCCGCTAGGGGCGCGTACCTCGGTTGCAGTTTGTCCCTGGCCCTGGTCGGTCTTGTGGTGGCAGCCACTCGATGTGTTCCTTTCACATCGATGTTTCTCTCTCTCTCTCTCTGTTCTTCTCTCTCCCTCCCACTCTACCTGAACAAAAAAATGAGAAAATGTCCTCGGGTGAGGATAAAAAATATAAAAAAAAAAAAAAAAGGCATCTGAAGCTCTGTGGGCACAGGTAAAATCCTGTCGGCTTCATTCAGTTTCATAGACTTCAAAGGACACAGGCCAGCCCTGGCCGGTTTGGCTCAGCGGTTAGAGTGTCGGCCTGCGGTCCTGGGAGACCAGGTTCGGTTCCCGCTAAGGGCATGTACCTCGGTTGCAGTTTGTCCCCGGCCCTGGTCGGTCGTGTGGGTGGCAGCCACTCGATGTGTCCCTTTCACATCGATGTTCCTCTCTCTCCCTCCCACTCTACCTGAACAAAAAATGGAAAAATGTCCTCAGGTGAGGATAAAAAAAAAAAAGACACAGGCCAAAGCCCACTGACATCAGCACGATGCCCAGGCAGTGGGCACACTGGGGCCCAAACATGTGCTCCTACCGCCGCCGGGCTGCGGCCACACGCCCTACACAGCAGGTGGAAGGGAGACCCTTCACCTGTCCTGGGGTCGCCGGCTTCGTAACTTGTGACTCTGAAAGCCACTGGTTCTGCTTTTCAAACGCTGTATGACGTCGGGACGAGACAACGTGAGCACAGGTATGAGCCCGACCAAAAGCCATGAACTCACACGCATGAGATAAAGGATTTCTGTTCCGAAGAAAGGCAACCACTGGGGGCACGGGCAGCCTCTGTTTCTAAGGGTCTCAATGGGTACGGGAGGAATCCCACATTGCACACACAGGAAGGTGTACATAAAACCGGGGACAGTATGGACACGGCAGCCTGGTGAGGTGCTCGCACAAGCTGATCAACACCCCGGGGGTCGCCCGCGGAGTGAACACCTGCGGAGAAGGACCCGGGGTGGGGACGCGTCACAAAGCTACGCAGTTCCTCTCCCGCGGTCACAGTGGAATTCACTCTCAGAAACAAAAACTACGGGAAGTTTATTTTCCCAAAGACGAACCCAGTCTTCAGCTCACTGTTTCATGTGTTAGACCGACAACAGGCGACTTCTAACACGCCTTTGAAAGTGTGTGTTCAACAGCACAAATGCCCTCCCTCAGCAAGAATCTTCTGGAAGTGGGCTGGGGGAGGAGCTTCAGAACCAACTTGACAGGAACGAAGGCAACTTGGCCAACGGCTGAGCTGAGGGTCCTCGGGAACGAGGTAAGAAGTGACCACGCTGGCCAGCCATGGCCCGTGTCCCTAGCAACGGAGGGTCAGCAGCCAGCAGGGGAGCGAGGGGTTGCCCTCGAGTCAGGTGAAGCCCAACAGAGTGTCAGTGAACACAGGTGATCGGAACCCAGGTACAAACCCGACCCAGCACAGACCTGTGCATCCTGAGCGTTGCTATGGGGATTCTGATGCTGTTCCACGAACACATTTTGCGCTTGGCTGCTGACTGATTGCCAAACCCATTTTCCATGTTGGAAACTGATTGGGAGTCTAAATACGGATCCATCCCGCCCACGCGGCGCTGGGTGGCGTGGGGTCTGCTCCGAACGCTGACACGTTTGAAAAGCCGGGCTCAGCCTGAACGAGGCCGCTTCTCTCTGGGAGAAGAACAGACTGGTCTTGGGGGGTCACGTCTCCACGTTCAGGCCCTCATTAATCTGACTGGGACGAGAATGTTTCACCACTTAAAACGGGAACCTGAGCCAACCAAACTTGGAGACACTTTCCATAGCTGACTCTATCTGAAAAGGAATGCCTAACAAATAAGCAGAAATAGTTCTGAAAGCTAGTCTGCCGGAGAGAGGCCGGGGATGCGCCGACAGCCCCGGAGAGCACCTGGGGCACCGGGCAGCCGCGCGGCCAGCGGGGGCCGTGAACCCGGAGGCCGCCAGGTAACTGTCCCGCGTCCTCGCTCCCGCGTCCAGCTGCGCATTCCCGTGACTGAGAAGTCCCCTTGCAGTCCCCTTGCTCGGCACCGCGAGTGGCCACACACTTGTGGATGGAAGGCGGGTGGGAGGGAGGACTCGGAGGCAAGGACAAAGGTACCCAGACGGCAGAGGACTAGCCCATGAACCCTCAGCACGACTGCAGCCAGGTGGGCCCGGGGCGGCCCTGCCCACGCGCCCCGCCCGCGAGCTTGTTGGCACCCAGGGCCCGTGTGGCTCGTGGGACCCGTCAGCACGTCTCTGAGTGGCAGCAATGGACGACAGTGCTTACTACGGGCTCTAAGGGGAAGGCT